TCCTACTCAGCATGGGTACCCGCAAAGCCCCAAGCTACACTGTGACCCCGAGGAGCCCCGAGCTCCCACCTCCACTCTTATTACCTTGAGATGAAGAAACATTTGTTGACCAGTCCACCTCCCAGAGTGGACTCTGTTCTGAGAAAACATAGAGGCTGGCATTGGGTCCTCCCCAGGCCCTATGGTTCAGCGCAGGACATGGCAAGGTGAGTGCCCAGGGAAGCATTCTCTGCAACCTGGCTCCACACCCTCCCTTTGTTCTCCTTGCCTAAGTGAGCATGCGAATGTTCTCAGGTCCCACCCACAGAAATGGGATCTCCAGGTAAGTTCTAAGTGACTGGATCTGTCAGTCACAGACATTTAAGGAACTGCAGGTGGTGGCTTAGAAAAGACAGCATTGGGGGGCCCCAAGAAGAGACTGGTGGTGGGAGCCCCAGCATTCGATCACTTGGGGGGAACAAGTGGCTTCCATGCAAATCAGGACCCTTGAGTACACATGTCCAATACCCCACACCCTTTATCTCCCTGGAAATTCATCAGAGAAAAACATTCCTGGAGTATCGAACTTAATACCTGGTTCAATAAAAAGCCCTATGACAAGCTTTTCCAGATGCTGTACATAACTATAAAAGTAGCACAGAGCCTGAGCCGGTGATCTCATCTAATATCATAACAAGTCTATGGAATTGGTCTTATCGTCATCACCACCACTATATGGATGAAGAAATTAAGGAACAGAGAAACTGCGTAAGTCGCCTTAAACCACGCATCTGAGAGGCAAAAAGACTGCGACGCAAAACCCCTCTCTTCACCAAAAGATTCTCAGTGCCTGCTGGAAGGAAGACGGCAGGGGATGCCATTAAACAGGAACCAGGAAACCCCTGCCACATGACTTGGGCCTGATCGACATTGTCCCGATCCTTGGTTTCTTCATCATTTGCCTCTGAGCCCAAGTTTACTCATGGCTCAGGACAACATCACTTCCTCTCCTGAGTCATTCCCAACCATTGCATAGCAGGTCAGTACAGAGCTCACCCGCCCTTTCTTTGCGCCTTCCTTGGATCCCTTGTTATAATCCTTGTGCATCAGTCAGTCAGGGCTGTGTAACAAGTCACTCCAAAACTTGTTTGCTTTAAACCATGAGCCAACAAACATTTCACTAAAAAGCTAGAGAGTAAATATTTTGGGCCATGCCTATCTTGTGCAGCTACTCACCTCTGCCTATGAAACCCAAAGGCAACTAGAGACAATATGGAAATAAATGGGTACAACTCTAGTCTAAGAAAACAGATAGTTGTCATGCTCACAGGCCACACTCTTCCCATTGCTGCTGCAAACGACAAGCAATGCTCATGGTCCTGAATCTATAATCTAGCTAAACCCTCTGTTGATCTTGGGACAGAGTCTACTGAGTATGGTTGAAATGTCACATGTCCCTGCACTCACCTGGTTGAGTACCCAGGGTTGACAGATCTAAGGTTTTACTTACATAGCTGGTAGTTAACTTGCTATCAGTCAAAGGGAGAGATGATTGAGGCTGGGTCTTTCATCATCAAGGTGGTTACTTACCTTCTAGAAACCGAAAGCTTCCTAGGTAGGGTAGAAGCAAGGACAGTTAAGGCCCTAACACCAAACTGTTCCATTCTCACTTCAACCACATTTGATAAAACACATGGCAAAATCAGTCCAAGTCCAAGAGTCAGAGGGACAGTTTCCATCTCTTGGTAGGAAGAGCCAGACGTCCCATTGCAGAAGGTGTGGACATAGTGCCGTCTACAGTACTGGCCATTTATTTCCTATCACACACTGTGGTCACCGCCATACACATGTGTATGCTACCAGGGTCTCCCTCCTTTTAGGCAGCAAACACCCTGAAGAAGGGCCTCTAAGTCTCATCCATCTTTTTATCTCCAGAGTGTATGTGGTACCTAGACTGGAGTCTCCAATCCATCTGTCTCCATCAGCACCACCTCTACCTTGCTCCAGAGCGTGGTCCACTCTCATCCATATCCAAAGCCTTCTGACTAATCTACCTACAACCACGTTTGTATCCTCATAGTCAGTCTCTTCTTAACCTCCAAGAGGCCTTAAAAATCTAAACCCAATTATATGAACGTATGCACCATCCCCAAATTAAAACTCCCATTTCCCTTCAATGCATCTTTAACCTTCAATGAGCACAGAGGATCTTGTACCAACTCCTGCCTGCCCTTCCTTCCCTTTCCTGTACATCATTCCCTCTATCGTCTCACCTACCTAGAAAGGCTTCTCCCTGCCCCCCCCCCAAGCCTCTGTACCACTGTTCTCTCTGCTCAACCCTTCCTCCTCACTTTGATAACTGGTTTCCAGATCACAGCTCACGTGTCCCTTTCTTGAGTAAGTCTTTTCTAACTCCCAAGTTGGAGTCAGTGTTCCTTATGTCTCGCTCTCCCCAAACCTGACTCACTTCCTTTGATAAGATCTCATTTATAGCACCCATGACAATGAACCCAAGATTGCGCTTCTTCTTCCCTCTCAGGTTCCAAACTCCACTGGACTCGGGGCGACATTCAGAGCCAGCGCAGTGTGGACTCTTGGGCCGGCACTCAACAAGCCCCTGCGGGATCAGCAGAACTGTGTAGATGAGAACTTCTATCCATCCCATGGCTGTGGATTTTTCAGACGGGGCTTCAGCAACAAGTCCACAGCAGGGCTGCGGGATGACTCGTGTACACTAACCCTGGAGAGGCACTGGCATCATCTGTAAGATAAGCAGGTTGGGCAGGGCAGGTACAGAGGAACTCTGAGTGCCTAGCGGGGAGGGTGGAGACCTGAAGGGAAGGGAAGGAAGGGACCCAAGGGGAAGCCTGGGGAACCAGGTCCTCTCACCCTGAGTCTGGCACTTCCGCTACTGTAACAACACAGCTGGTCAACAACAGAGGCGACGGGAAAGCCAGCAGAGAGAACCAGCACAACACAGCCAGGAGCCATGCAGGCTTGGCACCCAAAGTCCTAGGCTACAACTCTGGTCTGTTTCCCTGAATTTGGGGCAAATAACTTCCCATGCCTCATGTCATAATCTGTAAAATGGGGCCGGAAATAGATAATCCCCTCATAACATGAATATAAAATGCCAAAAGAAAGAGCTGATGAGGAAAGATGCTGTATTAAGAGCTGTGAGTCAAACATACCCATAGAGGCTGCAAAAGACAGGATTGACAACAATCTCCCCATTTTATGGATTGGGAAGTCAAGGTTCAGAAGTAGTCAGGACCTGGCCCCACAGTGTTTGGTTAGCGAAAATGGGGATCTGGGATTCCATCTGTGTCATGTTCTTTTCTTCTGTTTGCTACCACTCATGGAGACTTAGCCACTAAGGCGACAAGGATATTATATTCCGTTCCCAGAGGCTATGCTCCAAAATGAAGGTCAGCTATGACTTCCTCCTTCTTCCTGTCTGACCCTCCCGGCCAAATGGCAAAGCAGAGCCCCATGGCCCTACCACATCCCTCACATTACCAACCATGACCATTTCCTCTCTTCCTGGCCTTGAACAAGTAAGGTGACCTTCCTAAAGCTTGGGGAAAGCTTCCTCTTTCCATCAAATGGGTCAAATCGTCATACCTCCCGCCCAGGGCCATCAAGAGGAACAGCTGAGTCACCTGTGACAGCACACTGTAAGTGGCCCAGCAGTACCCACAGCAAAGGACCTGCAGGACAGGACATAGCCGGACCCCTCAGGAGTAGCTTTTCTGTTTGCTTCCCTCCCTCCGACTGCATTTTCTTGAGAGAAAAGGACTGTCAAAGGAGGTTGCCCTGAATTTCTAAGCAATTTGTTTTTCTTTCTCTCCCCTACTACCACTTTGTTTTTTCTTCCTATGATTGCATACAATTTCAAACAGGATCGTCACTTATGGTCTCTGAGGCAGCCTCCTACCCTAGATCCCATGCCCAGCTCTGCAGCCACCCCTACTCCAAAACCACAGGTCTCCTTTGAGGCCAGATCATGTGGCATCTGAGGGCTCCTTGGCCTTGGAGTGGCAATGGGTCGGCCAGGACTCTGATTGTTTTTACTGTAAACTACTCATTCCTAATGTCCACGGGACATCCTGCCCTCACCACACAGTGCTTAGTTGTGGTCAGACCCACCTACTCCTACCTCTGTGTCCCAACATTGGAAACCAGGCCAACCAAGGTCAAACCATGGGCAAGCGGAACACCAACATGAATAACTCATGGTTTCCGGCCTCCTGGATCCCCCAACATAATCAGGAGATGTCACATCAGGAGAGTCACTTTCGGAAGGACGCTCCCTAGGTCTCATCCATTACTGTCACTGCAGTATAAAGTGGCCTTAATTTAGCAGACAAGAAAGGAAGTATAATCAAATTATAAAAAAAAAAAGCAAGACTATCCAAGACAACACACTAGACAAGGTAAAAGAGTGTACAACCAGAGGGCAGACACATACTAAAAAGAAGCTTTGGCCTTGAATTTGCCTTGTGCCAGGGCCAGTCCAACAGTTTTCTTCAGAATGGCGTTAACTAAGAGGTGACAGTTCTGTTTATAGGACTGGCTATTTATTTTAGCAAATTTTATGTGGTATATGTATGTGTTTGAGGGCCACTGTAAGGAAGTCCTTTATAAATCCAGTCTGCTTTTATAGAGCACTTGACAGAGGCAACATAAGGGAGGAGGGATCAATTCTGGCTCATGGTCCAGGAGATGCAGTCCATCATGTTGGGGAAGGCGGAGGCAGCAGTAGTACAAGACAGCTGCTTACGCTGGTACAGCATCAGAGTTCAGTACAGAGTGTGCGCTTGGCATAACCCACAAGCCCCTACCCCATCTGGCTGGGCTCCATGTCTCCAACATTCTATAGCCTCCTAACGCAGCATTCCCCCACCTGGGGGCCACCTATCTATTCCAACCCATGAATCTATGGGAGATGTTTGACCTTCAATCTGTAAGGTTGACCATTTTCATCATCACAAAACCATCATGTTTAATAATACCTCTGTCTTACAAATGAAGAAACTGAGGCACGGAAGAGTCCCACCATTTGCCCAGAGTCACCACAGCCTCTGCTTGTGGAACTGAAATCCCAACCGGTCAGTCTGGCTTGAAAATTTATGCCATCGATCTCTCTTCTGTAATAACAAGAATGCAAAGTCATTTGCATAATTTGGGTCATTTTAGACTCATAAATGCACAAGTTCCTACAAAAACTAAGTCATTTTCAATATTTAACTTAAAAAATGATTTGTCTTAAGAAGGGTCATCAAGCCGGGCGGGAGTGGCTGAGTGGCATGGACCACATGGCGACTATTACTGCTTGACGAAGTTCCAGCATTTTGATTCTGTGGGTCACAATTCTCCAGCACCTCTTACTTTCTTCTATAATGCCTTTCCTTTTGAGAAATTTTGTGCAGGCTTTGAAGGATGAAAATGTATACAATGGCAGCCTCTCTAAACAAAATAATTCTTTGGAAAAAACAAATCCCCACCACCATAGAGTCATATAGTGTGATAAGGCCACCTGTTCCCATACTCATTAACACCAAGCTGCTAGGAAGTTTCGATGAGTAGCATATGTTTAAATAAGGTACATTTGATAATCAATATTTATGAACTCTTAAAGTCTAGTCAGGTTCACAGTAATATTTGTCAAGTTTCGTCTTTGCTCACTTTTAAGTTTTAGCTATATGGACGAACTAAGCCATACCAGAACCCGCAATATTCTTTAATGGAATGTCTGATTCCCCCCAAGAAAGCCTTTTCCCCAAGGTCAGGCATTTGGGCAAGTCCCCATTCCATTAGGGCCTTGAAGAAAGTTCTGGACTTGTTGTAAAGAGAGACAAATTCTAATCTCTGGCAAGAGGAACTTGTGGCCCTTCCATTAACACATGACTGGTGCCCATTGTCAAGGTCCATGCTGGCTTCCTCAACCCCAATCTCAAGCTGCACCCCAGCTCAGATGCCTTCTGTCCACCATTTAATCGGATATGCAGCTGTAGAATATAAAAGGTATACTCTTTCTTCAGTAAACACACTGGCAGCCATCCCAATTCAGATTATGTCCGTCTTTTTTCTCTCCTCTCACGAACACACATATCCTCTTTGGGACCTGAACACCTCCCCATCCTCCCACCCCTGGCCGACGGTGGTCTCTGGCAGCAGAGGCCTTTAAATCTGGTACTTGGGAGGTAGAGGCAGGAGGATCACTGTGAGTTTGAGGCCAGCCTGATCTACAAAGCAAGTTCCAGGACAGCCAGAGCTACACAGAGACAGTCTGTCTAAAAAACCCAAAGGAAGAGGAGGAAGAGGAAGCATCAAGGTGGCAAGGACCACCATCTGAGAACAGCTTGTAAGCCTGAGGGTGACATTCATCAGCTTGTACTTTTAACTTCTTCCTCAAGTATTGCTGAGTTCCCCTCTGCCTGGACCAGATACTGAGCACAGTCACCACAAGGCTATTGTGGCCCTTCTTGTCAGAGACAGCAGTCCAACCCTCAGCAAGTACACCCAGGTGACAGACGGCAGATGCGGGCCAGTTTGCTGTGGCAAGACCAAAGTGGCATCTAACTCCAGGTTCAAGAGGAGTGACATTTAAGCTGAGGCACAGCATAGAAACATCAGACGATGAGGTCAGGGAAGTGGGGGGAATGTACAAAGGGCACATGGGGGTTGACTTGTGAAAGGATGGTTATTGTCTATATCCTTTAACCTTATCAAAAGCCATGCAGGTCAAAAAAATGTGGGTGGGGGTTTTAATTCCAGCCAAGTCCATTCCATCAGCTGGCATGCAGCATCCTCAAGACAGGTGACCTCTATTCCAACCTTTCTTATGGGAGCCAGAAACAGCATCTCTTTGCCTGGCCATCTCCTTAGGCTCTTCCTGAGAAAATGCATCATTCTTTCAGGTCCCCTTTTTGGTTCCTCCCCCGGTACATGTGTGGCCAACCTATAGGGCCTCAGAGGGGACCGTGTTAAGAGCCAAGCATCCCGGAACCCTGCACCAAATGTTTTCTGGGAAGTTCTCATGCGTTTCCAGAAGCCTTTAGACTCTCAGTTCTCGTTCCAGATGGTGACAAGTGGCTTTCTCTGCTGACCTGTCTCCGCTCCATGCCTAGTAAGAGAAGTTGATGAAGTTATTATTTTACCGTGTTGGGGAAAAGCAGGTGAGAAATCTGAGTCAAGCAAGAGCAGGTCTTTTCAAGCCTGGACCATAGGGCAAAGCACACTGTAAGTTTTTATGTAACTAATCTTCATAGCAACCCTACGAAACGAGTACTATGATCATCGCTAGTATGCAGCAAAGAATGTTGACATCCCAGAAAACTAAGTGACCTGCCTCGGGTCCCCAACTAGCCTATGGCAATGCTGCCCCAGTCTGATGAACAGTGTTCCTTCTGAGGTTCCCTAAATCCAACCTATGTGTGGTGGTCTATTTGATCTGGCTCCAAGCCCTGGTCTCCAGCATCATAGCCCACTATCCCTAGTAATCATGTGTGCCTCTGAGCATTTATTCATGTGTGTGCCTCCTCTGGGATGCCTTTCCCTGCATTCTCTGGTTGCTGGGTCCAGGCTGACCCTGTATGTCTCTGATGTGTGTGTGTGTGTTTTACACACATATGTACTCACATTTGTGTACATGGTATGGGCTACATGTTGTAGGTAGGTGCATTCACCTGAGTGCTATGAAGTGATCCATCTGTACACTGTGAAGATGTGTTGCTCTCATTGTTACTAAAGACTGGCCAAAGCTAGGCAGGTAGAGGTCAGGCAGGATTTAGGGACAAAAAGAGAGAGAGCGTGGGGAAGGAGGAGGGTGGAGTCACCAGCCAGACACAAAGGAAGGAGATAAAGATGTTGTGCTTGAAGTAGGTACCGCCACACAGTAGAGTGTAGATAAGAAATACGGGTTCCTTTAAGTTGAAAGAGTTAGTTAGTAGCAAGCCTAAGCTATCAGCTAAGCATTTACAATTAATAATAAGCCTCTGTGCTTATTATTATTGAGCAGCCAGATGGTAGGACAGAGCTAACTGGTGGGACACAGAAAGTCCACCTACACCTGAGTTTATAAGTGTGTGTGCTTGTGTAGGTACACACAGAAGCCAGAAAAGGACATTAAGTACCTATATTGTTCTCCCTTTTAGTCCCTGGTGTTACAGACATGCATGCCCGTGCCTAACAAGAGTTCTGGGGATTTGAACTCAAGTCCTCACACTTGCTCTGCACAGCCCCCAGGTTGAACCTTCAGAGCAGCCCACTGTGACATCATCCTGGACCACAGACTTTCACCTCTCCTGTTTCATACACGTGTTTCATTACAGAGTGACTCATAGGTACTTACCTCACTGTGTACTTGTCTCCCCATGGGATTAGGAGCTCCCTGAGGGCAGGGCCAGACAGTCTAGCTATGACAGCCTAGCAGGCTCTATGCCCAGTGTCACCTACACTCAGTCCCTCTCTAGCCCGAATTTCCTTCCTGTTTGCTTAAGCAGACCCTATGGGGACTGAAGTACCATGACCGTGGGGCACAGCAAATGAGATAGCCACGGTGTCACCTTCAAATAGTTTTCTGGAGCTCACTGAAGCAGGGGCTGCATCAGATGACTTAAGCAACTGAGATTTATGTGCATGTAACTCTGGAGGCTGAAGTCCGAGACTCAAGTGTCAGCAGGCTTGGTGTGTCCCAAGGTGACTCCCCTTGGCTGCTTGACAGCTGTCTCCTTCCTGGGTTTTCATATGGTCCTCCTATATGGAGTCTGGGTTCGAGCTCCCCCTTTTGATGGAGACTCTAATTTTTGGATTAATATCCAGCCCAATGACCTCCATAAGCATTACAACCCCAATGGAGTCAAGTAAACAGTAGGTACTTCTTGTCGGGCCCTATCCCCAGTACAGGCACATTTGAGGTCATGGAGATTCTGACTTCAGTATGTAATTTAAAACATCTGAATCCTATCTATAGCACATATCAGCTGCCTTCCTCCTTTGCCCCAACTCATGTGCACACTGGATTAGACTCATTAAAGGACAGATTGGGAATATTCAAAATACCAAGTCAAAATGTCCAGTAGCAGGTCTCCAGGTCTTCTTTTGACCCACGGAGCCCTTAGCAAATTCTGTCTGGCTTCCATATTCTAAGTGTTCCTCCCCCCCCACACACACACACACACTACAATCCAAGGCTGAACCATGGGAGAAGACTGGAAGGCATGGGATGTGGCTGTCTTCAGGAAGCCATGTCTTCACTGGTCAGGAAGGCTGGGCCAGTTCTCAGGCTCTACCAGAGCTCAGGCCTCTGGAGTTGCTTAGCAACCCCCAGGCCAGATGCTCCTAGCCACCCACAGAGCTCCTGAAAACTTCTCTTCACCCAAGCTCAGCCTTGGCACTTCCAGGAAAGGGAGGGGAATACCAAACAACTGATTATCCTCCTTCTAGTCTCAAAACTGGCAAATAAGGAAACCACTACTCTACTACAAGGAGCCGGGGAATGGTCCCCACACCCCCAACCCCACAGCTTCTCCTCTCCACAGTTCATCACGTCTGCAACGTCAAGGTCGCCCTCCCCAGTGAGGTAATCAAAACCCTCTGCCTATGCCCCAGTATCAGGCTCCAATTAATAGCAAGACCAGAATACTTGGGTTTTAAATCCCACCTGGAGAACTTTCTAGCCCTGTGACTTTGGACAGTTTCATTAGCTTCTGCTTATGTTAGGGTTTGGGTGACAAATGATCCCTCCGGGAGCGCATGTTTAAACAACTGGTCCTTAGTTGGTGGCTCTATTTCAGGAGGTTATAGAACTTTGGGGAGGTGGGGCCTAGCTGAAGGAAATATATCTCTCTTTATAGCCTAGCTCCATTTCCTGCCCTATCTCTGCTTCCCGGTATCCAGAGCTACGAGCAAACACCTTGGGGCTCCTCTCTTTACCATGCTTCCCCACCACAAGGAACCCGCCATCTCTTTAGTTTCTCTTTCCTGGGTAATTGGTCATAGTGACAAGAAAAGTTAGTAATATGCTATGCTTCAGATTTATAACCCATAAGATAGGGACAATAACAGCTTTCTCTTTATAGCATTATTACAGAAATTATTGGCCAGCCTCGACAGGTTCCTATGTTCCAGGGTAGAGGCATGTGGGTTAGAAATGTCAGGCAGAATAAAGATACAAAAGAGATACAGAGCTGTAGGATAGTAGCGGGAGGGCAACCCAGTATATACTGAATGGACCCATGTTTATTTTTTATGATCTTTAAATACCCCAAGCCACCAGAGGTGAAGAAAGCAAAAGATTCTTTTATCTTGAGAAAAGGAACAAACAAAGGGATTACCACCTTAATACCCAAAACACCAAGTAACCACGCCCTAGGTCAAGACGCCCTGTTAGTAGCCACACCTCAAGTTAAATCTGTCAATAGCCCTGAAGGAGCAAGACTAGGCCTGAACTCTCTGACCTTCAGTCAAGGTGGACCCGCTTGACTTCTGTGGGCTCCCACAATAAATGAAATGAGTTGATCTGTGTGAAGCATATAGAATAGTCTCTAGAACAATAACATTGTATGTAGACATTTGTTAACTTAGTCACACATGCTCCGTCCTACGATACATCCATCATAAGGTGACAAGTTTTCCTAAGGATGCATGGGAACAAGGCCTCTTTCCTGGCAAACACAGGTCTTGAAGGGCAAGGAGGGGCTCCCCATTGAAGTGGAGCAGCAGAGGGAGGGATGGGACAGAGGCACAGATTGACTGGAGTTTGAAAGGGTGTGTGATGTGTCTGAGGCACGACAGATGAGTGTTGCTGGAACCGGAAGTAGGAGGCTGGACCAAAGGAGCTGAGGTTGAAAGAGGAGGGAGACCAAATCTCAGAGAAACTGAAAACTCAACTGAAGGCCTAAGGGATGGACGGTACCACGCCACACTTGTCCTTAGAGTGGGGAGCCTCCGCTTGTCCTTGTTCGCCTGCCCTTGTTCTCAACAAGCACCGAGTCAGTGCTGGGACCCAGACGCAGGCAGTGGTGAGAGAGCTGACGTAGAAAACTCAAGGAAGGAGGAGACGGTGATCCTGGACTCTGGGTAGTCCCCGCTGAGCATGGGATGTGGCCGTGCTTTCCAGAAGGGAGGAGTACAGTTGGCTAAGGAAGGGAGATGTAAAGGAAGGTTGTTCCCGTCTGTGAGAAGGCACCGGAGCATGAACCCGTAGGCCCCTGGGAGACCTGCTGACGGCCTGCCCAACTGTAGTAAATGGCGCATCAGTGCCGAGGAGAACAGAGGAGGAGGTGACCAGAGATGGCAGCAGACCGAGGACTTGTATCACCATCTAGAATGCAATGGGCTGGGTAGAAAAACTGCTAGAGGGGGTAGGGTAGGGTTAGAGACCCTTTCGGGAAAGAGTCCTGATATGTCCTCTACCAGCAGAGAAAAGAGACAAAAACGTTGCTGGAAGAGGTTGGGGGAGGCTTGGTCATCATTGACAGTGAAAAGGACAAGCCAGCCATGATAGAAAGGGACGAAGGAAATGGACAACCTGGGGGAAAGGCAAGGTGGCCTGTGGACTACTTGAGTTGGCAGTGCCTGGAAGACAGGGATGTGCAGGCGGGACACAGGTACTCAAGTGGCCAGGAAAGACAGCAATTTGAAGGACATTGCCACTGACATAGGAAAAGGGTCACAAGAGGAGGCAAAAGAGTCAGAGACACCCCCACGCCCACTGTGAGGAGTCCCACAGAAACCCTAAGCTAAGCAACCACAATATATGTGCGGAGGGCTTAGAGCAGACCCGAGCAGGCTCCGCGGTTGTCGCTTCAGTCTCTCGATCCCCTTGGAGCCCTGCTTAGTTGATTCTGTGTGCGGTGTTTTCCTGAGGACATCCGCGCTTTTATAAACATTGCTTTCATTAAAGTCTCTCTCCATCATAAAGATGGAAAGATGGATAGATGGGAGGTAAGTAGGTAGCTGGGACAGGAAAAGACGCAATGGAAATGGGAACAAGATACCCAGAGGGGCAGGAGAAGAACCAGAAGTCAAGAGAAAAATGAACTACGTATCGAGTGGGCATTCCCTTCATTAAAAGGGAGGCTTTGGGTTTGCCACAAGAAGGTCAGTGATGACCTCAGTGAA